CTGTACAGATTCTAGCTGGGTGACCCTGGCAAGTGCCCTGCCTGTCTCCCGTCTCTGAAGTGTCGTACCTGCTTCACACGGGCACAGGCACTGAGCGAGCAGCCAGCTTGATGCGGCATCTGCTGTCCTTACCACCCCCTTCACACGGGTAGTAGGACACCTTTGGGATGGGAGAGGAAGCAGACCCCCCGGGCTCAGCCTGCCCTGAGCTTTGGGGTGCATCTAGTCCCACACAGGCCCCGGGCTCACAGTGAACATGTGTGGCAGCTGGGAGCAGCTGCTTGCTGAGCCCAGGGCTGAACCCGAAGCTCTGAGGGGCTAAAAGACTGGCTCTTGGGTCTGCCTGGGGCTGGGACGTTGGACCCAGGAATACACCTGCCTGTGCCTGGAGATGTGCACCCTCCAGGTGGGCCCCATGGGTTTGAAAAGCAGGCCATGAATGTCACGTTCTTTCTACTCACATCTTCCCTCATCAGCACCCTCCAGTCACTTGGGTATTGAGGATGGTCACCCCCTCTGAGAGGCTTCGCTCCCACCCAGTGCCACCTCCCTTTTATTTCCATCAGGCACTGCTGCCTGCCTCCTTCACTTGTGCCCACCACTAGAAAAGAGCAGTGTCAGCAGGCTTCCAGGGGTAAGGCTGATGGGGCCGAGAGCCGAGGACCTACGGAGTGACCAGCTGGGCTTGGCATGTGGAGCCTGCCTGGCCAGCCGCATACTGTGTTCTGGGACCTGTAGATAGCTCAGGGTGGCTCATGTCCCTACAGATAGTGTGGGGGAGCCCACAGGGAGGTGTCCCCCATATGACAGGGATTGGGGGAGGGGCAGGTGATACCTGGGTGAGGCTGCAACTAGGGAAATGTGGGGAATGTGTAGGTGGCCCAGGGGGCCCTGGTCCTCTTGCATTCTCTCAGGTCTGTGCATGGTGGATCTGGGACCCCCAGCAGAAATGGGAGTGACCCCGTGCAGGGAGGCTCTTTGCAACCTGGAATTAGATAACAATCATTACTTGCCTGCGCAGTGACTGCATGATCTGTTCTCCATTTTAGTCTTGGATGAATTTTTGATAAGTATTTTTATTTTTTTGGTACTGGGGATTGAACCCAGGGGCACTTAAACACTGACCACATCCCCAGCCCTTTTTTATATTTTATTTAGAGACAGTCTTGCTGAGTTGCTTAGGGCCTTGCTAAGTTGCTGAGGCTGGCTTCGAATAACTCATGATCCTCCTGCCTCAGCTTCCGAGCCACTGGAATTACAGGTGGGTGCCACTGCACCATCTCTATATTTCATTTCTTCATTTATCTATTTAGTGGGCACCAGGGATTGAACTCAGAGGCACTCGACTACTGAACCACATTCCCAGCCCTATTTTGTATTTTATTTACAGACAGGGTCTTGCCCAGTTGCTTAGAGACTCGGTTTATGTTGAGGCTGGCTTTGAACTTGCAACCCTCCTGCCTCAGCCTCCTGAGCCGCTGGGATTACAGGCGTGCACCACCGCCCCTGGCATATTTTTAATAGACACACAGTCATGATGGGTGTTGATGGGGTCCAGTGTGGCATTTCCATGCCGGGGGCAATGTGTACTGATCAGGTCGGGGTCACTGGCGTGCCCACCACCAGTTCTGTGTGCGGGAGCGTGAAGACCCTCTGTGCCAGCTGTCAGGAAGTGCCCCGTTGCCGCCAGCCAGTTCCTCCGCTGTGCCATGGCACGTTAGAAGTCAGTCCTCCTGCCCAGCTGCACCCGGAGCCCGTGTGCCTCCTCTCCAGCCACCCTCCCCCACCCTTCCCGGGCTCTGTGGCCACTGCCTCACTCGCTGCTTTGGGACCCTGCTTTAGCTTCTGCGGAAGTGAGCACGGAGCACTTGTCCCTGTGCCTGGCGTGTGTCACTGTGCTCAGGTTCTCCGGTTCCCTTGGTTTCGCGGCACATGGCAGGACGCTCTCTGTGGCTGAGCGCTCTTCCAGGACGCCTTTGCACTCACACCCAGGAGGACTCCTTATGGGCGGCTGCAGAGGGCGCTGCGCAGGGCCTGCACCTGCGGTGTCTTCAACGTGCCAACGTCAGCTCTGGTGTTCTGGGGAGCGGGACAGCGGTCCCGTGCAGTTCTGTGTCCGTGTTCGAGGGCCCTCCGTGCTGCTCCCACCACGTCCCCAGCAGCACTGTGCCAGGGCTCCCTTTGCTCCACATCCTCACTGCGCCTGTCTTTGATTGTCGCCATCGGATGGGGGCGAGGACAGCTCTTGGTGCTCTTGATGTCTTTCCCTGTGCCCCCGTTTTCCAGGCACTAAGTCGTATCTCATTTGGCTCTTGGATTTATTTCCATAAAGCACTAAGTCGTTTCTCTGCTACAGAGAACAGTGACTTATGAGACTGGTGTCTATTTCCTGTGGCTGCTGCAAAGTACCACAAACCAGGGGGCTTGAAGCCACAGTGGTCCCTTCTCTCAGCTCTGGGGGCTGGGAGTCGCAATCCAGGGCTCAGCAAGGCTGGGCTCCTCCCAAGGCTCCAGGCAGGACCACAGCCTGTGTGCCCCTCTTACACAGAGCCAGTCACACTGGATTTAGGGCCCCCAACTCTAAGATGACCTTATCTTCACCCATCTAATTACACGTGCAGACCCTATTTCAAAAAAGGTCGCAGGATGAACATGAACATAAACATGGGGGCCCTATTCAACTCAGTACAATGTCCTGAGAATCTGGTGCTTCTCTTGTGTCAGTGGCCATTCTCAGGGGACATGCCCCTGTGGGGTGAACCCCTTGCCTCAGTGGGGCTGCAAATTCTGGACATTCCATATTGAGTGCTCAGAGCTGCTAGGCTGAGACTGAGGCCTGGCCCACTGCTGTGGGAGGGGACAGGCCTCTTGCTGACCACCCTCACTGAGAGCCCCTGCTCTGCCATCCACAGGGGCCAGACACCCGCAGTGGCCGCTGCTCTGGCCCCAGAGGACGGTGTGGTCCGGGCATTTTGGACCCGTGTCTGAAGATCTCAGGAGCCGGCTGAGGTTTTCCACTTCAAACCCAACACCCAGAACCTGGGAACCAGCCCGTCTCCCTGAAGTCCCTGGTCCTTCCTGGAGACGCTGGGGTCGGGGCATGCTCACTTCTGCTCCTGGGCCCTCAGGCTCCAGGCTCTGGTGGTGCTAGAACAAGGCCCTTGCATAGAGCCCAGTCATGCTGGACTCGGGGGACAGAAGCCTGCCTGGCTAGCCACCCTCCACTCAGCCCAGGCCCCTTTCACCTGGAGGGTCCCTGTTCTTCCTGAACTAAGCCACGCTCCTGCCCTGGCCCTCCATCTCAGCTGTCTTCCAGCTGTGGGTACCCAGGTAGTCTGCCACCCTGCCCTGTCCCCTAGTCTCCCATGAGCGCTGTCCCTGCCACCTGCTCTCACATTAGCACTGCCCACCAGTAACACTGACATGAGGGCAGGAGAGGGGTGGGTCTGGGTTTAAAATCCCTAGATGCTGCTTAAGTGCAGTGGCTGGGGAGCCCTGGTATCAGACTCCCAAGGTGGCCCAGGGGCTCCTTGGCAAGGAGGGTCTCACCCTGCGGTTCTGGCTCTGCACCAGCACCCCTCCCCAGGTGCTGCCACCAGCTGTGGCCGTCAGCAGCCCTTTTCCTCCTGGGTCCTGCTACCCAGAGCTCAGGGGACCTGGCCTGTGCTGTGCTCCTGGGACGCCCTGTCCTTGCAGGTGGTCCCTGAGGTGGACTGAGCTCTGGAGGCAGACTGGCACCTGGAAAAGCAGGCGGCATCTGGCTAGCTGTGCCAAGTCGCCCGGGCCTGTGGTGGTGGTAGGCAGCATCTTTGTTCCCACCCATGGGGGTGCCTAAATGACAGAGCATTGCAGGAAAGGACACTGGAGGCACGTGAGGGCACAAAGGGCCTGTTTCTATGTCAGGATGGACGTTGTCGTCTCCTTCATGTGATCTTTTGTTTTTGTGGTGCTGGGGATGGAACCGGGCCTTGAGCAGGCTGGGCAAGCTACACCCCAGCCCCTTTGGCATCTGTGAAGAGACTTGTGCCTTTCTCCCTAGAACCCGCAAGTCACCTGTGGGAGGACACTCTGCCACGGTGCGTTATGCAGCCCCTGGAACTCTCCCAGGGGTCTCAGCAACTCCATCAAGACCAGAAAGGGTCGCCCTTCTACCAGCGGGCAACATTGGGCAAGTCTTCCCTGAAACAGTCCCATGAAAGGAGGAAGAATGCCTGATGCGGTCACTTAGGCACAACAGGTCTGTAGAGGAAGGGCTGTCACAAGGGCTGCTCCAGGAGTGGCAGTACTCTTTGGCTCTGTTTCTGAGCTATCATACTCTTCACTGCCCTGACTGTCCCAGACATGCCAAGGGGAGCTCCCGGGGAAGCTGCAGATAGAGTGCCGGGGTCCCGTGAGCCCTGAGGCCACACTGTGCAGGTCCAGAGCATGCCAGGTGAGTACCAGGCACCCGTGCTGGCAGTGGGTGGCTCCCCATGAGGCCAGCGCATGGGCAGAGCTGCCTAACTGCCACCACAAGGACACACCACTGTCCCCTGCAGCCACCCCCACCACCCCCTCCATCCCCATAGCTAGGTTTGAGAACAGTACCTACATGGGTGGCATGGACCTCTGAGATGACTTTCCCCTTAGTGTGATTCCTAGACACAGCCAGCAGTACATGCCACTGGCTTGCCCATATCCTTTTGCTGTGACTCCATCAGTCATTAGAAGTGTCCCTCTTTGGGCACAAAGAGTCCAGGCTTCCCACTTCTGCACTGGTGGATTCTGAAGGAGGTGGCAACATCTAGAGCCCGCAGAGCCCGTGCACTCACTGCTCCAAGGAGTCGCCTTCCCGTCTAGAGCCAGGAGACACTCTGCRGCTCACACTGTCGGTCAGGTCATACTGCTTTGTCCAGTTCATACGGAACAGCACAGGGACTTAACTTGTTTTTTTAAGTTTGTATTTTATCTCTTACATTAAAATCCTGGTTGCTGACATCAGTGTTATCTGCTCTGTCTCAGCAAAGAGTTTGGAAACACCATACCAATGTTACTAGAGGCAGAACTACCACGTCACGCTGGACTGCTGTGCACCCCTGGCCTGGGCAGGCCCCCACCGAGGTGACTAGCAGAGGCCGGTCTCTGAGCTGAGCTGATCAGTTTCCAGCAGCCATGGTTTCGATCTGAATGGTGTAAAGGCCTGGTCTCCAGCCCATGGTGCTGCTGGGAGGGGGGGGGGTGTCCAACTGGGAGGAGGTAAGGTTATGGGGTTGACCCTGAGGGGAGATTGGGAGCCCTGCTCTTCCTCTGTCTCTGCTTCTGGCCTTCACAGAGAGCAGCTCTGCTCCACCACGTGCTCCCTGCCATGAAGTTCCCTGCCCACCACAGGACCAAGCCGGCCACAGTGGCAGACAGCACACTGGGAAGCTGCCGTGCTTTCCTGGTCCCCCCAGATTCCTTCAAGACCTGTCCTGCTCCTCCCCAGGGACGTGGGTGGCTCTTTGTGATGGTCTCCACTAGGAAGATGCCATGGCCTCTGGAGTTAGGACCCTCTGCTCCTCTCTCTGGACACAGCCTCCAAAGTCGCTGGGAGAGACCACAGCAATGAGAGGTGCCCAGCAGCCCCAGCCCAGGGCCAGGTGTGAACCTCAGATGAGCTGCCTGACTGCCAGGAACTGCCTGCCAAGTCCCTGGCCAGTGTGGTCAATGGCTACGGTTCTCGGCCACCAGGTTCTGGGGTGTCTGTTATGTAGCAATAGCTAACTGGGACAGGCTGCTTAATGCTGTCTGGGGGACATTTTTCTTTTAAATATAAAATACCAATAAAGTTTGGGCTAGGGATATAGCTCAGTTGGTAGAGTGCTTGCCTTGCACACACAAGGCCCTGGGCTTAATCCTCAGCATCACACATACACACACAAAAGACCGACAAAGTCAGCCTGCACAGGACAGTCCACCACCTCTGGGCCGAGGTCCTACAGGGACAGGGCTTCACCAGCCTCACACAGTTTCATGCTGCCACATTTCACACCTTGTGGGGGCCTTTAGGGCAGCTTCCTACAGGCAGAACCAAACCACAGGGACAGGGTACGTCCACCACTGGGCATTGCCACACCCCCCAAGTGTGTGGTCTCCTACCAACACCGATGCCTGCCCTTGGTCCAGTCAGAGCTGGCCCACACCAGCCTTCACAGGCACAGGGAGCTGCTGCCCCTGGCACAGCACTCCACCAAGGCCGGCTGGGCACATCTGAGGGCAGGCGCTGACTCTCAGCTGGAGTGAGCACCCTGTGGGGAGCTGGTGGGGAGGACACGCCCCTGGTGTGGAGACTCCTATCTCGCCCGCCAGCCCTGCAGACCCAGGCTGCTGTCGGCGTGGCAGGCCTGGCAGCTGGCCAGGGGCCCACCCGCAGCACTGGCCTGCAGCTCTAGGAAACCTGCAGTGTGCGTGTTCATCGGAGCAGAGGCAGACTGAGTGGTCTTTGTCTGCGGCCCAGCGGGATCCGCCAGGCTGAGCCGGTCTTTTTCCTACTCAATACCTCCAAATGCACCCACACAGCAGGGATTAGCCGGGCTGCTGGCATGTGGGGAAATTCCTCCGCTGGCTCCACTGACCAAGYGCTTAAGTCACAACCTGCTGACCATGCGGCCCGGCTGCCAGCTCCAACAGGAGCTGAGTGGAGGTCGGCGGCAGAGAGGGCGGCAGGGCCTCACTGTTCACAGGGTTTATTGGTAACGTTGCAGGGCGCCGGCCACAGGCACCTACGTGAACCAGTCCTCTGCTCGGGGCGAGGACAGCTGTCCACAGGACAGGAGTGCGGGCGCTGCCCTGGGCGGAAGCCTCAGTGCCCGGCTGTCAGGGCAGACTTCCGTCCTGGACCATCTGCAGGTACTCCTCGTGCAGCCTCTCCTGCGCCTCATACAGCTTCCGCAGCCTCTTGGAGAGCCCCTTGCTCAGCTCCCTGCCCTCTGTGTCGTGCGTGGGCAGGCCCTGCAAGGGCAACGCAGAGCTGCCAGGCCCGCCRCCCTGCACCCTCCTCCCTCCTCCTCCTCCACACGCCTCTCCCTGCTGTGGCCATGTCCTCTGGTGAGGGCTTTTGGTCACCACCGCTCAGGGTCCAGCATGCTGACCCAGTAGCATTGGCTTAAGAATTTAAGACCATGGCCACTGTGGAGAATGGTGGCCAGAGTCAGGCCCACCATGCTGAAGGGGTGCAGCCAATACACCTGGACCTGGCAGGGAGGCCGAGGGTGGGGCAGAGCTGGGCCAGCTGAGGCCCGAGGCCCTGCCGGGTTCTGTTTCAGCCATCCCAAGTCCGGCCCAGGCCGTGACTCCCACTGTCAGAGGCGGGAGCCAGGTGGAGGCACCTACCAGGAGGGGACCCCCTGGGCCCCAGCCTCCCCTAGAATCTCCCACATGCCCACGGCTGAGAACTCCTGCCCACCCCAGTTCAGGGTGGTCTAATGAGTCCTGAAATGTGGAGAAGGATTTCTTACATTTTCATCAAACTTGGAGTATTTGTCACTTTCTGACAGGAACATTTCACCAGGTGGAATCTTCATCCTGGCCAGCTTCGCCGCCTGGAACAGAGTACGGTCATAACCACCCGGCAGCAGGCAGGGGCTTTACACTGTCCCCAGGATGCCCACTCCCACCCCAGCCCCCAAACTGCTCTCAAACTCAGGTGGCTGGAAGGAAGGTGGGAGCCGGGGCAGGGACTCAAAGGGCCCCGTTCGTGGAACAGAGGAAAGGCTGTCAGCGGTCCCCAGGGCAGCCAGACTGCAAGAGCTGCCCAGTGCGGTGACGGGCGGGTAGTCTCCCCTGGCCGTCTCCCTCCTGGGTGGACCCCCAGGTTCCAGGGCACCATGTAGGAAGGCAGGTGGGGGCAGAGTGGAGCTCCCTTTAGAGGGTCCTCCGGGRCCTGGCCAAGTCCGAGGGAGGCCGAGAGCCACAAACGCCCAGGCGAAAGTGCATTTCTACCCGGGGGAGTCCCCCCAACAAGCAGACATGCTCACTTCCTGCTCTCGCTTCCTCCGGGCGGCCTCCTCCTTCTTCTTCCTCTTCTCCTCTTCAACCTAGGGGAACAGGCAGGGCCAATGAGCCAGGGTCCTGGTCCTCCTGCTGTCTCCCACGACCTGTCCAGCCCAGCCCAGCCCTCGGAGTGGGAGACAGACTGGTGGCCTGGGCTGAGGTGGCATAGCTGTGCTCAGCAGTGGCTGACCCTGGTTCCAGACCTTCTCAGTGGCCCTCTGGGTGCCCACCATGCTCTGGATGTGAGGACAGGGCAGCAGACAAAACCAACATTAAAAGCTTCAGGCACAACAGCAAGACACTGACCAGAAGGACAAACCTGGTCTGGAAGGGGGGTGCTGCATCTAGTGGGGCCCGGGGACGACCTGCACAGGTCATGGTACCCAGGAGAGCAAGGGCACAAGGCAGGATGGGGAGAGGGCAGAGGCCAGCAGCGCCAAGGAACAGGTGCCAGCGTTGGGGCAGTCAACGAGATGGGACAGGAGGTGGTGAGCAAAATCCAGGATTCCACTCCACCCAGCAGAATCCAGGCTGGAGCGTGGGTGGGGAGGGGCTGGGGAGGCCCAGCCCGGGGCTGGTGGTGGAGCCAGCAGGCTGGTTTCAGGTGAGGTCAGGCCAAGCCTGCCTCGGGAGTTCGGGCTGCCGTGGGCAGGGAGGAACAAGTTCGGGGAGCCGAGAACCTGATTTCTTTGGGATGTCCAGGGTTTCGGGTGCTCCTGGCTTCCCGGAGCTATGAGGTAGGCAGCCAAGTGCAGGAGCATGGCAGGTAGGCTCTGGGCTGGGGCCTGGGATCGTGGCAGATGCCCAGTGGACACCAGAGAAGCGGTGGGCTGGGCAAGGTCATGGGGAGGGGAGGGGAGGGCAGGGGAGGAGAGGCAGGAAGGCGCCGACAGAGCGCCAGGACGGCAGTGTGCTAGAGGAACGGTGGCCTGTCTAGGAGGACTCGGGGCCCTTTCAAGGCAGGAGTGCTCGTGTGCGGAGGGACTACTCTGGAGGAGAGCAGGCAAGGGACGCTGGAGGGCCTGGGAGCCCGGCTCCGTGCCATAGTGGTGAGAGCCCTGGCCCGAACAGTGGACCTGGAGAAGCCACGAGCTGCTGCCTCAGAGGGAAGAGGCTTCGGCAAGGCACCCCAGCTTCAGGCCAGATGTGTGGGCAGGAGGCTGGGCCACCCCTGGCTGGGGGTGGCAGAAAGGCCCTAGCCAACTTCTGGTCACCTCCAGGCAGCTGGCAGGCTACACCTCCCCTAAGGAGCCTGTGCTTGCTCAGTTCAGGAGGGGAGCCCYGTGTGGACGGAGACGCAGGCTGGGGAGAGCAAGTGTGACAGAAATGGAGAGGGCCTCTACRGGAGGTCACGCCACAACCTCTAGGGCAGGCTCCCTTCCCACCTTCCTTGTCACCACCCTGTGACTGTCTAGAGTCCCCCGGGCAGCTCCAGCTGACTCTGCTCAGCTGATGGGTAGCTCCTCCCGTGTCCCAGGCCCTGCAAACCCAGTCTGTGTCCACCTGAGTCTTGGGCCCTGCTCCTGGGGGCGGGGCTTGCTGCAGTGCCAACGCAGGCCACTCTCAACTCCATCCCCAGACCCGACCCTGGCTCTGTCAATCACCTCTCCTCTCCAAGTCCCTCTCAGCGGCCTGGCCCAAACCTGCTCTGGAGGCCACCCCCAGAGGCCCACCTGTCTCAGTGCCACTCCCCGTTCCCGTGTGGCTTAGGAATCCACATGTCCCTGGGGGCACCTCACAGGCTGGGTCCAGCAGTTCTGATGTGTTTTTGTTCCTGTTCTTTCTCCCACTGACAGCCAGGTCTCTGAACATGGGATCTCTGGATCATGAGGTCTCGCTGGGGTGGGAGCTTTGGGAGGGGCACTCTGGGAARAGCCACGCGGCACTGAGGGTCTGCTGTCACTCGCCTCCCCCCAGCTGAGCAGACGCCTGCTGTTGGGTTCAGGCCGTCGGGCAGTTGCAGAGCTGACTTTTCTTTCGGACATTCACGGGGACAGGGATTTGTTTGGTTTGGGCCCTGGGGATTGCCCAGGGCTCCGTACATGTTGCAAGCTCTCCACCACTAGGTCACACCTCAKCCCAGCACTGGCATATTTTAAAATAAAAGCATTAATGTAAATTCTTAAAAGTAAACTATGCAACAACCCCAAAGGTGTTTTGTTTTCAACAGAATCAAGCAGTCATTCCAACTTTACCAACCCTTTTCTTCTCTTCCCTCTCTCTTAGTAAGGTCTCTCTGTCCACCAGTTTCACCACCGTTGGCAGTCCTGAAAAGCAGACAGCTGGTGAGACCCAGGCCTGTGCACCTGTCCTCCTGCAGGCTGCCTGCCAGCCTCCGMGCCGTCAGCCGAGCTCCCCACGCCGCACACTGTGGACAACAGGGGGCCTGCCTGACGGCTCACACTGTCAGCAGGCAGGTGTGACACGGTGACAACTACAGCGCCTAGGCTTGCTCCCTGAGTGTGGGAAAGGAAAGGCAGTAGAGGCCAGAGGACTATAGGCACCGGACTGTCAGGCCCAAACACATCACAAACCATGACTACCCTCCTGAAGACTGCCTGCCTTGCTGGGTTGGGGACACCTAGGGACATTTGGGAAGAACATGGAGATTCCACTTGGGGATTCCTTTTTTCTTTTTTTTTTTTTTTTTGGGTACTGAGAGCAGAACTTAGGGGTACTATACCACTAAGCTACACCCCTACTCCCTTTTATTTTTTTGAGACGGGGCCTTGCTAAGTTGCCAAGGCTGGCCTTAAACTTGTGATTCTCCTGCCTCAGCCTCCTGAATTCCTGGGATTACAAGCAAGCACCACCGTGCTTGGCTTCCACTTGGAGATTTGTCAGGAACTCTTAGTGTGTCCCCTCCTGTGTCCTTTCCCAGATCTCTGGCAAGCAGGTTGAGAGGCTCACCCACCTTCGTGATCTTCAAACCGCACCCCAAGCTCGGGCAGGATGTCATCCCGGAGGGCATCGCTGAGCTGCAGGACCTCAGGGACTGTTGGCAGAGAAGAGTGGTGCYGTTAGACATGCAGGGATCCCAGGTCCCCCGGACCACGCACTGTCCCCAGTGCCTAGAAGAAGCACCAGCTTGATTCTGTGGGAAGCAGAAGAAGCCCAGAGATTACCAAGGCCACTTCCATCAGGGAACCTGGGGTGCTGCTCCCAGAGCCCAGAGGAGCCCAGGCCTAGTAGCCACCTCCCAGGGTCAGCCTGAGGACCAGCAAAGGCTTGTGCAGAGTGGCCAGTGCCCAGGGCCTGGCTGCCTGGGATGCTTGCCAGGGGGTGTCTGGGATGCCCAGAGCGGGTGCAGCAAGCAGGGCCAGGCTTCTTCCTGGTGCAGGTGCCTACTGCACAACCACGAGGCTCCCAAGGCACCAAGCGTCCTGGTCCCAGGTAAAGGACTCTGGGAACTCCTGGCCACAAAATCTTGGCTCAGGATCTCGAGGGGGAGACACTCGGTAGGTCAGGCCTCGGGCTGCTGCTGTGCCTGCTCAGGGCCTGTGCCCTGTGCCCCTGAAGTCTTGAAAGCGTTCCCTGCTCCCCTCATGGGCCTCAGTGCTGGAGAAGGACCAGGCCACCAACTGTAAATGCCCTGAGAGAGCCAGGACACAGCTGGGTGAAGGGGGTCCAGGACAGAGGCTGGGTAGCCCCAGAACTGCTATCCAGCACCCAGGCTCAGCCTGACCACCGGGCTGTGTCAGGATGAAAGGCAGGGGAACCCCAAAAGCAGACGGCTGGAGGAGACAAGACAAGGCCTGTCCGCTTGAAGCGCCTCTTCCACGAAGGACATAGCACAGCAGACCGGTGGGGGGACACTGGGCCTGTACTGTGGACAGTCCTGCAGGTTTAGACATTCCCAATCTCTGAGTCGCTTTCTCTATTGGTGCCAAGGGCAAGATCAGTGACCAGCTGACTCACCCCTTCCTGGCACCTGGTCAGAGGGCAGTGGGAAGGCTGCAGCTCTGGGGTGGGGCTGGGGTCCTTAACATGGAGCACAGTGAGGCCACTGGAGTCACACCACACAGCTCTCCTAGGCCCACTTGGGCCCACTCCAGGTCTGGCCAGTGTTCCGTCCCTGTCGCATTTAGAAACCAATAGCCCTGAAGGACTTGATTTCAGACAGTGTGGCCACGACCAACCCAGCCTTTCCTAAAGGAAATGCAGCTGGACAGGAGGGGAGGCAGTCCCGCGGCAGCTGGCACACCGAGGCCCAGCCAGGCAGGGGACGCAAGATGGCCGTGTCAGGCAGGGGGCCAACACCAGCGCCCCCGCCCGGAATGTACTGCCCAACTCGCAGGGCCTTGTCACACTGGGGAAGGACCTCGACTTAGAAATGTGAACATCTGCAGTACCTCAGCCATGCCCAGCACTGCAGATGGTCCCTCTTTCACAGTGGACACTGTCAGCTGGCCCCCAATGGTTATGACCGTCCCTGCCTCAGTGCTAACCCATATCTGCTGTTCCAGCCCACGTCAAATGTCACCAAGGAAACACAGGGTGTGACAGGCAAATAGGATGCCAACCTTCCTCATCCTCAGGCCAAGACCCTGCCCGCTGTGAGGGGGTCCCTGGAGCAGGCACAGGGAGGCCTCCCACTCCCAACACACATGACACACACTCCCTGGGAGCCCCCCACCACAGCCCACCTGGCCTCTGCAGAGCTGAGGAGCAGGACCTGCCACCTGCCCTCATGCTGAGGCCTGCTTGTGCCCACTTAGCTGGGAATTCCCTCCAGGCCCATGAAACCTTTTGGTGCCTCGGGCCTGGCCTGCTCTCTCCTCTGCTACTGAACAAGTGCAGGCCCCCAAGACCACAGCAGCACTCTGCAAGGCCACAGCCACACGTGGTCCATCCCACCCCGAGTATCACTCAGCCCTGAAAAGGCACAAAGCACTGCCACACGACCAGCTGGCAGACACTGGAGACACGGTACCACAGGAGAGACGCTGTACCCGCCACCCAGGACGCTACCTACAGACAGAAAGCAGGCTGGGTGGACGCATCAGAAGAGCGCAGGCTCTGTCACCCACGAGTTGGGGGCGGAAGACCAGCCTCTGAACTCTCTGTTGATACCTAGGTTTAGGCCTGAGCCAGGCATGATGGCACACACCTGTAATCCCAGCACCTTGGGAGGCCGAGGCAGGAGCATTGCAGGTTGGAGGCCAACCTGGGCAACTCAGCAAGATCCTGCCTCAAAATAAAAAAAATTTAAAAAGGGTGTGACTTGGCTCAGTGGTACAGGGCCCCTGGCCCAGTGGTCGAGGGCCCTGGGCTCAGTGGTCGAGTGCCCCTGGGTTCCCTCCCCAGGACCCAACACAGAAACAAAAGGAAACAAACGGCTCTGGCTAGGTGTAGGTCTGTGGCCAGCTGCTTAGTCTGGGGCTGGGAATGCGGACCTACAGGGGAATCAGGCAGGAGTGGGGACCTTCCACGTCCGAGGCCGCCTGAGCAGAGGCGTCCCCAGGTCAGAAGGCTAGGCACAGCTGCCCTGGAGGCAGAAGGGCACAGCAAAGGAGCATGGCCTTCCCTGGACGTGGTCCCCAGACGGGGCACCTCCTGGGGACACCTGGGCCAGCCACAAGGACTCACGGTCCTGTTGACTGGAGATGCTCCTGAATGACAGGGTCCATCAGGCTGTCTCAGTCAGCAACTCCTTAGAAGTGTCCTGCTCGCGTGGATGGGGTGACCGTCAGCACCCCGGGTGGCAACTGTTCCTCTCTCCCTCTTGGTGGGCTGCATACTGCCCCAGGAGCATGTGCCCACAGAGCCCCAGGGCACCCATCAGAGCTGGCTCCTGTCAGTGGAGTCGGGGACAGGGATGGAAAGCAGGTGATGCCGCGAGCAACTCACTGCCCAGAACAGACTGGGGAGAAGCAGCACGAGGCAACGGCGATCCAGCCTGGGGAGCAGGAAGATGCAGGAGCCCCGAGTGGAATGCCACTCAGCTTTCCAAACAGATGGAAATCCTCAGGCTGCTGGGACGTGGAAGAGTTGAGGACGTTCTGCTAAGTGGGGGCAGACAGGTGCAGAAGGACACACTGCCCTCCACTTACATGAGATCCCTGGAGCACTCGAATTCAGACAGAAAGTAGGATGGGGAGCAGCGCTGGAGGGCAGGAGTCACATTCAACAGAACAGAGTCCAGGCTGGGGAGAGCAGAAGCTTGGGGGCTAGAGGTGGCTGCCCAGCAGAGTGGACGTGCCTAGCGCACCAAACACAGTCTCGATGGTAACCTCTGTAGAGAATATCAAAGAGGCGATGGGGGGGGGGGGGGTGACCACAGGCGACAGAGGTCTGCCCAGCCCTGCAGGCCCTGTCCCAGGCTCCCTGACCCCTGCTCCCTCCTGGACTGGCCTGGGCAGAACTGCTGCCTCAGTCCACTCTGGAGCTTGTGGCCCACTCTCCTTCTCCTGGGCCTGTCACAGTGCTGGGAATAGAGCCATACTTGCTGCTGCTGCTGCTGCTGTGTGGGTAGACCCACGTCCAGCACATGCCTCCAGCCCMTGGACTGTCCAGAGAGCCCCGGGGTCTCTGGCCCAGGTAAGCTGACTGCAAGCCCACCTGAGCGTCGGGGCAGAGGACTGCTGCATGTGAGCACAGCATGGTGATCCCATCCCTTGGCATGACCCACTTCTCTTGCTGTCCACTCTTTCCAGCCAACACGCTACTCTGAGGCCAGCCTGCTGGGGCTGCTCTGAAGGCCAAGCACACCCTGCCCTGGTCAGTGTTGCAGTGCTGTGGCTACTGCATGGCCAGGCCACCTTTGGAGCCCATGGGCCTGCGTGCCCGAGTTCCTCCTGGGGCTAGGGTGTGCTCAGGAAGTCATGTTACATGTGTGCTCCCTGTGTGCCCTTGGGGGCTGAGTCCTGGGCTCAGCCTCCGATGTCCTGACAGGCCGACGGAAATGCCCTGCTGCCCACAAGGCCCCTGCTCCAAGCCCAGGACCCCAGCGATGGCAATGGGGGCTGCTGACCCCTGTGTAGAGACCTACACAGCTCTGCAGTGGGCCATCAGGTGCTTCTCAGTTTGGTGAAAGGGATTTAAATCACTGAGAAGCACCAGGTGAGACAGCAAGCACTAAATGCTCACTGCAGCCTGCTCACTGGCTGCTGGGCAGGCCAGGCCCCTCTGTGAGCACAAGAGGCAGCCTTGGAGTGGGGTCACCCAGCCCGCCTCCTCTGGCCGTGTCCTGCACTCCCCCTGACCAGAGGAGCTGCAGGCTGAGAATCATCTTTCCTTTTGCCCTGCTCTCCAGCACAAGACAGGCCTGGACCTGGTCCCGGGCCTCCCCCAGCCCCTCCCCCTGGCCACGCCTCGCATCCTCCTTCAAGAGGCAGCCTCTCCATTTGCTGGTAGTGGATGGAACTGGACTATCACGTTAGGTCAAGGAGCTAGATGTCCTCTCTGATATGTGGGTTTAACACACGATGTGGGGTGGGTGGGGGAGCGGAGTTCACTGGATTAGACAAAGGGGAATAAAGGGAAGGGAAGGCGAAGGGGAAAGACAATGGAATGAAGCAGACACCATTTCCCCATGTTCACTCGAGTACACGACCATCGCGAACAACCTCAAGTACGAGACGTCAAAGCGCACTCTCCTCGTATCCAAAACAAACCAACAACAAAAACAGGCAGCCCCCCCCCCCCCGGGCTCTCCTGGGTGCCCTGCACTCCACCATTGGCCACGCGGCCTAGACGCTGACCTGCCTGCAAACTGTCCTGCAGTGAGCCCAGGATGCTCTCTGCACAGTGGAGGCTCGGCACCACAGGCTCCTGGCACCTACCAGGCTGAGCGGGGCAGGGGACGGTCACCGCCTCCTCCAAGCCCTGCTTTCCTTTTCTGTAAGACAGGTCAGACAAGACAAGCAGCTGGTGAGGCCACCCCGCATCCTGACGGGTGTCAGCGGYGCTGCCACAGGTTCATGAGAAGCCAGAGTGCCGCCGGACACCACTTACTGCCAGGTTTAACAACCTGCACGGACTGGCCAAAAAACCAAGACACAGAGATCCAGCACTTCCTAAATCCCAAGTCTCACACACTCAGGATGTCAGGATATCCAAGAATGAAGCACAGACAGAAAGCCCTCCTGGGGACCCCCAAGATGAAGGCATTCTGCTGCTAAGCCCCGCGCAAAACAGTGACTCTGGGAGCAGCCCCCCAGCAGGAGGCTCCTGCTCTGGGCTCGGCAGGCATTCCAGCACGCCTGCCGGCTCACCAGGAGCAGAACTCCACCCTCCATGGCTCTGCAGGACGACCACAGCAGTCCACGCAGCTCTCGCCCAGAGTCCTGCCAGGCTCTGCACCTTTGAGCTGCCCCCAGGGGGCCCGCAGCGTGTGGGCAGCCCACAGAGGGTGACGCGCGGGTCTGCAGCGCAGAGATGAGCAGCTGTGTGCTCGCCCAGCGAGGAAGAGCCGCTCCTGCTCTCTGAGCAACGGCCTCACCTTTTTTCTCCCGGGCAATCTTCCGCACGCCTTCTCTGAATTCCGATAACACCTGCAGGTAGGGCATGACTGTGGACTCGAGCTGTGGAAAGAAGGTCTTGGCTCAGAGGGCAGCTCACCTGTGTTGCGACTGAATGCCTCGTTAGGTATTCAATTTAGCAAACGTAGTGCAGGGCGGGGACAGCCTGGGCAGTGCTGCTGGGCCTAGTGTCYCAGAGCCGGACACCTTGTCCCCAACACATGGTCTACAGGTGTGCAGGTGACAAGCATCTTGTGGGCCTGCAGCACAGGTGACAGGGGCCAGAGGGCACAGAGCCTCCTGTATACTCTGGCCAGAGGTGCTCAGCAGCTCCTCTACAGTGCTAACTGCATGCTTCCAGCAGGGCAGACCCGGTACTGTGAGGACCTTCTTTACGTTACAAGTGGCCGCTGGGCTGGTCGTGAGTCCCACATGCACTTGCCTAGTGCTAACCGTCTTTGCCAAGGTGTTCACGCACTTAAACATCTGCACAAGCACTGACCACAGAGGAGTGCTGAGGAGGAGGCAGGAGGGAGGACGCTGGATGGGCGAAGCAGTGCACAGAACAAAGCTCCGGCCACTCTCCCTGCGCCTTCCTCCTGTCTGCTCAGTAGAACCAAAGATGGCTTCTGAGCAAGGTCTCTGCCTCCAGGTCACGGGGTAGCTCAAGAACCCAGATACAACACAGATGGCCACCAGCTGGCTGGGCCTGGGAGCCAGCAGTCTGAGCTGAACATCCTGGCCCGTCTGACCCCTGGGCAGAGGCCGTCTCCCGTGCAGTGGAGACTCCGGGCTTCCTGGTGGCTTTGGGTCTTTCTCTCTATTCATGCACAAGCCTTGGGCCAGCAGGGTGCCCAGGGGGCTCTTGGATGGCGACAGGGTCTGTCTCAAGGAGGCCTGGGACTACCGACCCCCCATGGTTTGACTGACTATACTGGGATGCATGGCCCACACCAAGGAGGCAGAGGAACAGGTGCCACCTCCTCAGCTTGACAGCACTTGGGACATGACTTGAAAGAGTGAGCTGTGGGCGCGGGACGCCGGGCCTGGCAGGCTCGTCCCATTGGCTCACTCACTCATGGCTGGCTATTTCCAAGGAGCTGACTCAGAGGGGCTAACAGGACACACAGAGGACGCACAGAGCACTATGTGAAGGGCCACAGCCACAGCAGAGTGCAAGACCAAACACTGGTACACACTCAAAGGCAGACTGACTAGCCTAGGAGCTCTCTTTTGCTTCTTGTTTCAAAGAAAACAAACACCCTAGGATTATTTGCACATGAAAACAAAACAGCTCTTGTAGATTTTCTTTCAAAAAAGCACTGGAAGCGGCCCTGCAGCTCCCCTGCAGGGGTCCTCACTGCTTATCTGTAGGAAGCAGGTTTAAGGTTGTGCCTTTATTTTGCGCTGAGCTCCTTGTCATCAGGTAGCAGCAGGTCCTCTTCAGTGTGTGCACGTGCCCTCTTGTGGAGGACTAAGAGCACTCGACAGGGCAGGGGGGTAGGAGGACATCGGAGACGAGCAGCCCTCACGTAGCGGAGGAGCCTGACATCACTGCAAACGGAGAGGCAGACGGCACCGAGCAGAGCCCGCCAGGGTGGGTTTGTCTGCATGTTCACACCTGGCATGGTGACTCTGCAGGATGACCTTCTCCTGCCTCCCAAAGCAGGGGCTGGCAGTGTGTGCACAGCCCCTGGGTGCAGTGTCAAAGCTAGAGCTGACTGGAACTGGCAYTGGTTCTGCCCAGCCACAGGACAGGGAGATAGTGGAGCACTCTCCAGCCAGCACTCTATCTATATGCGTGACCTTCAGTGAAGCCATGTTGGGTGCAGCCAACCATGAATGGCAACGATCAGGGACGCAAGTGTGTCCACCCTGAACACACAGGCCTTTCTCCCATCACCCCTGCACCACGGTACAGCCACCACATAGGGAGCACTGGTGCTGCATGAGGCCTCACAGACCACTGAGCGATGGCATGCACTGCAGGAGGACACGTGGCTTAGGCATAAAACCCACCGGTACATGTCAGGGCCTTAGCACCCATGGGTTCTGGCACCTCTGGGGTCCTGGCGTCCAACTGACATGGATACTAGGGAAATGGGATGCAGGACATGGCAGGGGCAATCAAGAACCCATTCAGCCAGGTGTGCCAGGTTAGAGCTCACGACAGCAGGGCAGCAAAGGCATCCTAACAGCCAGCTGCCAAGGCCGCCCTTCCACATGCCAAGAACAGCTGCCAAGCCACATCTGAAATGCAACTGGCAGGGTTGGTGGGGAAGGAACCTGTGCCTGTCTCAGTATGCCTAAGGGCTGCCAGGCTGGGGAGACTCCTGTAACTCCAGAGGAACAAGCAGCGGGGAAGGGTGGGTGGCCTGAGGCCCTGGACAGGGACCCGTGGGCCCAGGCAGTCACTACTCACATTAAGGCTGGTCTGAGACCCTCCAACTGGGAAACCCAGGGAGCTCTCCTCTTCTATGGCCCCGAAGATCTGAAGGAGAAAGAGACGGCACATGACCCATGGGCAGGATGGACAGGTGAGACGTCTCGCGCGGTCAGCAGCCCCCGAGCGGCTGGCGTAGGCGCGGCATGGTGGGTCTCCACGGCCAGGGAAGGGTGGGAAGAGCAGCTCCGAGAGCTTGAAAACCCACAGCAGGCCTGTCGTCCAGGTGGGTCCTGGCTCAGGTGGCCACCCTGGCCCTCCCCAGCAGGACAATGGGGAGAGGGTGAGGCAGGAGAGCCACCCCGAGGTCCTGCGGGCTGTGGGAGTGCTGCTCCAGAAGTGGCTCTGCACAAGACGTGCTCAGAGTTGGGGCCTGGGACATGGTTTCACTTTCCAGACCCAAGGTGGGAACGGGGTCCAGAGGGACGACACTGCAGCCTCCACTCCTGACGCGTGGAGCCGGGAGAGCGGAGGGCTTGGCTTCCAAGGGTGCAGGTAACGGAGGCCTGTTTCCTCACCACAGGGCGTCACGGGGCCCATGCAGCCAGAGAGCTTGGGTTCTGGCACCTGCCTACCTTCAGCATGCGGGTGAGGTACACAGCCACACTCTCCAGCAGGGCCCGGTTGGGCCTCCGCCGGGCAGCCTTCCGGGCCGCCATATAGAGGTTGCACTGACTGACCAAGGCTCGCATCTCTTCCATGACAGTGCGGGTGTCGACGTTGTCACAGAGGGCTTCGTGAACTGCCCTTTTCTTGTCATAAAAGCTGCATGTGGAAGAACAAGGAACCCAGTCAGACCTGATACCCTCTAGAACAATCCTCCAAATGCTCCCCAAGCTCAGCTGGCTCGGCAGCAGGTGCTGCACGTCCCGGGGACCAGCTTCTCAGGCTCTGGGGCCTGGCCATAGTCGGCCAGGCCCTGGGCTGAAGAGAACCAGCACATGCCCACAAACACCAACGAAAAGGCTCCACTTACTTCTTATTCAGTTCTGTTTCCTCATCTTCCCACTTTTCAAACTGGCCCGTGATGTCAACAGGCGCTCGAAGGACGTCTTTCACGTTTAAGAAGAACTCCTGAGGTTAGGAAAGTCGGTTTAGCAGCATCCAGGCAACTTTCCCACTAGACGTTTCGGATGAACCGTCCTGATGGGATTTTACTTCAGGCAGATTCTGAAGAACCACAGTTCCTCAAGGCCCACAGAGAACCAAGCTGACAGCCGGGACCGCAGCGCGCTCTTTTTGAGCCTCTGAGACACGTGCTTGGCAGGAAGCCCAAGTCAAAAAGGCCCATCCTCGTGAACAGGAGGGACAGGACCTTCTTACACCCGCCGAGCTGCCAGCCCTCTCGGGGCAGCGTGCCCTCATCCCATGGCCCGAGCCACCTTCCCCCATGCCGTGCCCTGCCTGCCAGAGCAGGAGGGAGACGCCGCTTGCATGGACCACAGGCGCCGGTAGAGCTGGTGTCCGCCACCTCCCACCCCGCCGAGAGCTGGCACTCACGTTCATGAACTTCTCGTACTGCAGCGCCGACTCCATGGTGTTGCTGGAGTAATCCAGCGTGTCCTTCCAGGAGTGCATGAGGAAGGCCAGCCGCAACTGCCGCGCTGCGGAGCGAAGGCACGAGACAGCCTCAGTCCCCGGTGGCCCCCTGGAGCACGCCACTACCTGAGGGTGCGCGTGCGGCAGGCTTACCCGAGTGCTTCTTCAAGGCGTCCTTGATGGTGATGAAGTTCTTCAGCGATTTCGACATCTTGCAGCCTGCAATTGTCAGGTGACCTGTGTGGAGGAAGTACCTGACCCAGCAGTCATTTTCAAAGTACGCCTGCGTGGGAAGACGGGAAGGATGGCTTGGCCAGCGTCCCCAGGGCCTGGCCTTCCAGGGGGAGCCAGACACTGAACGCGCTATTGCCGCACTGTGCAGCGTCCACTGGGCAAGTGCTGCCTTTCCTAGGTGGGCAACTGAGGCTCAGAGGGACCACGCCAGGTCGCTTGCCAACAAGCAACACGACTGGTTTGAGTTTGAGCCTCTCTGTCAGAACGGCCAGGCGATCAGTGTGGGAAATCGGGCTCCATTACTGGGTCAAATTCCTTGCAAGCCCCAATGCAAAAGGCAAGACGTACCCGGAAAGGCCCTTCCTGAGGCCTGGCAGGGSTCCTGACTTCACTCACCTCTGACTGCGCCAGCTCATTGTCGTGGTGGGGGAACCGGAGGTCAAACCCCCCTCCGTGAATGTCCATCGAGGCTCCCAGGAGCGTGCCTGCCATGGCAGAGCACTCGATGTGCCATCCCGGACGACCCTGCAGACGTCAACAGCTCATGCTGCCTGCTGGGGCCTTTACCGCCCCAAGTACAACCTCAAGCCTCTGAGCTCACCAGACGGCGTTAACTCCCCCACAAACACTAAAGCCAGACCCAAACAACAACCTGGGAGGACTTCCAGCACCCCAGCACTCCAAGAGGCCAATGACCACTTCCCTTCCCACAGCACTGCAGGCAGGACGGCTATCCCAGGCCACCTCGCCCTCTAGAGCTAGCGATATTCCAATGGAGTCCACAGGGCACCAGACGAGGGCCTGCGGAGGTGGGGGCATCTAACCCCACCCCCGTCACCCCCTCACAGACTGACAGTACAAGTCCCAGGTGGGCATGTGGCTTCTGGAGGCCCAGCAAGGCCTTGTGACATCTGGTCCCTAGGGCCAGGCGGCTCTGTGCTGTACCAGCCCCGGGTTCTGGCCCTGGTGCGGAGTTCTTCACATGCAGAGCTGCCCTCGGAGACAGGGCTGTGCTGGTGCCAGCGCCCAGCCCCCAGCCCCCGGCAGGCACTCACCTTCCCCCAGGGGCACGGCCAGGACGGCTCTCCCGGCTTGGAGGCCTTCCATAGGGCGAAGTCGCTGGGCGAGCGCTTCTCACTCAGGCGGTCAGCTGAGACGCTCAGGTCGCCTGCAAGCGGGAGGGCAGGGCAGGGTTGCTCACTCGGCACACCCTGCAGGGTGTCAGCACTCCCCCACAGCTGCTCTGCGGCCTGCCCTTCTCCCTGGCTTGCTCTAGTGTGTCCCCTAGTACCCGTCTGCTGTGACAGGAATGGGGCTGACAGGGTGGATTCAGGAAACGCTGCTGTGGGCTCCAGAGTACTCGTTCTCGGGCCAAGGCCAAGCCAATCCCTGCGCTGCAGAGATGCCCACCTCACCCTGCCTCCTTGTAGCCCTGGCTCTCCACACCTCTAGGTCAGGCTGCGGTGCTCTGGGCTGAGGCAAGGAGGCGACCTGGTGTGAAGCTCACTGGGGCAGAGCGTGGGAACCCAGGTCCACACAGGGGGGATCCCTGGGTCGATGGCCCGCATAGCTGTCAGCCTGTGAGTTCTGGGGACACAAGGCATGGCTGAGCTGCTGTGTGCAAGCTTACAGGGCCAGGAGGTGGGCAGTGTCCTCCCTCCTGGGCTCACAAGGGGCACAAGGGGAAGCAGCTAAGCATCAGCCAGGAAGGCCATGAGCCGAGGGCCAGCAGCCCTTGGGGACTTGCAGGAGGGGAGGTGGCATTTTGCTAGACTCGTGGTACAGTCCCTGTGTACTTTGGTGAATGACAGGTGGCAGCAGCAGGCACAGCAGTGTAGTGGCCATGGCCCACAGGCCAGCCGAGCTCCACACTGAGGACCACCTGGCCTGGTGAGGGGCAGAGCAAAAGCCCCTGCTCTAGGCATGAGGGCACCAAGGCCCAGCCTGGCCCTCCAGAGCCTGGCCGGCCCGACTCGCACCCTTCCCTGGGGACACCTCCCCTGTGTGCCCTGGAACAGGAGGCACAGACTCCGTCTTGCCAGGAGCTGTGCAGGGGCCAGGCTGAGCCTCCATGAAGACACTGGGAGGATGGCCATGCCAAGGAGGGCCCGGCCCGAGCCTCAGGATCAGGACATGCCCTGATCATGGAGGACGATGGCCACCAGCTTTCAACCCAGAAACCATCACAGTCAGCGTCTGGGTATGTTGACAACCTGACTGAAATGTCTTCATGACCCTCTCTTGCTGGTCTGCCACCAGCAGTCCCTCAAACCGTGGCCGGATGTGGCTCCATGACACCCTCCTACGTGCAGGTTTTCAATTAGCTGTCGCCGTGTATATCTACTCATGAGTGTCCACGTATCATGACTTACTTTTGTTTTGTGGTGGTGCTGGGGATCAAATGATGACTTACTTTTAGAAACACCACAGAGAAAAGGATCGTGTCTCTCGCACGCCAAGGCCTAAAGGCTGTTGCTTGGCAGAGCTGGCTCTGATTCAGACTTTTTGAGAAAGAAATCACACAATCCCTCCCATCCTCATTCCTGCTAGCCACGCCCCTGCCACTGAGCCCCAGCCGCAGCCCCTCTACCTTATTTTGAGACCGAGTCTCACTATGTCCCCAGGCTGCTTCCAACCCAAGACCCCTGCCTCAGCCTCCCCGGAGACGGGGCACACACCAGCTGCACAGTCCTTCTGAGGGTATCTTCCTCTCGCTGGGCACAGGGAGCACACCGCCACGGGAGGGGTACGCAGCCCTTGGGAGTGGGTGGAGATGTCCTTCCAGGGTGGGTGTGCCCTCTGCCACCCTTCCTATCTGAGGCAGGGGCTCTGCTCTTGTTGTTCCTAGCACCTAGCAAGTCAGAGGTCTGATCTGTCCTGTGGGCGACGAGCCTCTCTGCGAGGCTGAGGCAGCAGCCTTTGTCTTGCCAGGTTCCTCACTGTGCCCCCGTGTCTATCTGCACCCCCCATGCTGTCTTGCCATCCTCCGATGCCCTTTGTCTGCCCACTGTGTCCCCTTAACCCCCAAGTGCACAGGCCGCACCTGGCTGCGTGCATCTGTCTGTGGCTTTCCTTCCACCCAGGCGCCAGGCACAGGCCTCTGTCTTGCACGTACACACAGCACCAGGGCCTCGCACACTGCGCCGTGCTCACAGAATGAGGTCCCCATGAGAGCGACTCTGGGGTACATGCAGACCTTCTGCCCAGTTGGGGGAGCCTAAAGGAGCAGTGCACTGGAGCTGCCCTCTCTCATCTGTGCCCCTTCACCATATCCAACCGTTCTCGCCCGGCTCGTCTGGGCCTGCTGACTCTGCTCCTGAGAAGGGCACGGCACGTAGCAGCAGCTGGGGCTCCGAGTCCTCTGGGGAGGTGCTCCATCTCCATGAACTCCTCCTCCCAGGCCTGTGAATGCTGGAGCCTGAATGCCGCGGGCCGCATGCCCATGTCCCCAAACGGCCCAGCCTGCCCTCTTTTACCGACTTTGGGTTGTTTTAGGTGCTAGTATTTCTCYAGACTAGAACCCTACAGGTGAAGGTGCCTGATGGAAGCAACTTTCATGGCCAAACTGCCCTTCAGAAGTAGGGCTCGGTGGGAAGCGCCTCCAGCTCGGGAGCCGCCTACCCTGCAAACACCCCAGCCTCACTCGTGGAAAGAGCCTGGAGAAATGGGGACCAGGCGTCCCAGCTGGGGCTCTCCTGGGCTCGGGAAGCCTGGTGTCCTTGCTTAAAATGTGGCTGGAGATTGAGAGACTCAGGACGCTTGCTCACATCCCAGAGTCTCACCATCCGTTCCAACCTCATGTACAGTGACAGCAGCCCCCAAAATCAAGGCCCCAGGCCACTTGTCAGGACAGCATAGTGGCCGCTCCCTTGGCTCTGTATGAAACAATGCATTTCATGGTCCAGTGTGGACAGGCCCTCAAGTCCCTCTAGGGGAAGCAGCACCTGCTGCTGGCCACCCAGGGGAGCGCAGCTGCGTGGGGGTCCTTTCAGTCCCGCCCTTGGGCGTGTGTGCTCCTTACCCTCCCCTTCCTGGAGAGCGGTCTGGTCCCCAACAGCTTCGGGCACCAGCTTGCCATAGGAGTGTTTCTCACTAGAGGCGAACTTCATGGTGTCAAAGTAGACAGACCCATTTGAAGCATAGCTGGAAGACAAAAGAGGAATTCAGGGACCCAGCAGACGCCACAGGACACCAGTCTGAATCCGAGGGCCACAGAATCACGAGAGCCAAGGTAGCCTGTGTCTCCTGTTTCCGCCTTCCCTGTGGCTGTTGGGAAGACTTGCCAGCTGCGCAGGCTGAGTGGAGGCTCCCGCCCACCACAGAGAGGTGCTTGCCACTGCCCAGCAGTATGTCCCTCAGGAACCTGCTAATGGGCGCCACAGCCTTAACTGACGACACCACCCTGCACAGCCTGCCGTCACCTCTCCCCACCTGCACTCCACCACCCGGGGCATGCCACTCTCTCTAAGAGCCTCCAGGTTATTCCAGGCCTAACAACCTGTCTTCCTTGAAGGGGGTTCGCCCCAATCTCATGGTGGCCTACAGCAACCTGGGATAAGGGGGAGAGGTGGCCTCTCACGTCAGAGCCAGTGCTGCTGCAGACACAGCTGGGGCCTTGTTCCCCTTTCGGCCAGTACACGCAGCTGGGTGGGGAGGGCAGCCACCCAGGGGCAGGCCCAGGGCCCTCCACGGCCTGGGACACCGAGCACGGCCCACAGGCTCCGGAACCCCGGCTAGCTTCCACTGTGGTTCCCGTGCAGAAAGCCAACTTCAGAAACATGGAAAGTGTCCCCTCCAGTGGACACGATGGAGTGTTCACCAGAGCACGGTGGGTAGTGTGTGCACTAAAACCTCAGCTGAGCAACAGGATGCTGGTGACATGCCCCTGCCCCTGGGATCGGACCCCAGGACACACACACTGAAGCGTCCACATGGAGACGAAGCCCTGCACACCAACAGCTAGGCCAGTGAGCCACAGTCTTAACTGCTGAGCTTTCCAGAAACTTCGTCCAGTGGCCCCAGGGCAGGACTCTAGGCCTTCCGGGAGGGGCTGGTCAGCGAGACACCTGCTCCTCAGCCCAGGGCTGTGTGGAGCTGCAGAAGGATGGCTGATGGGGCTTCGGGACAGGCTATGTGCCGCCACCACCCGTCCCTTCTGCTTCCTGCCCTGAGCCACCAGGTGCCTGCACAGTTCAACACCTACTGCACAGCAGCCACTGCAGAGCCAGGAACCCACGGCCGTGTGCACAGCAATCCAAGATGGCAGCGGCAGGCCGGGAGCTCCACGCAGGGCCAAACGCCATGGGGGGCGACTGCCCAGGAGCACAAGCTCCCCTGCTCCAGGCCTGGACAGGGGCTGGGCAGCTGCTGCCCTGGAGGGCTGTGCGCTGAGGGAGGGGTCTGTTCTTACCCATAGCCATTGTCAACAATCTTCTGGACAAAGTTCACAATTTCTGGCACATACTCGCTAACCCGGGTCAAGGCGTCGGGAGGCAGAACCTGTGGGTGACAAGGGCAAGTCTCAGCATGTCCCTTCCAAACACCTCAGCCTCCCAGGAACACACTCCATGAACACATCACCTGTCTGTCAAACAGGAAGCCCGGTACGGTCCAGCTGAGGGACAGGCACGTGGGTGGGCCTGCGCTACGAGGGACCCCACTGCGCCGACCAGCTGGCTGGGTCACCAGTGTCCCTGCCTCACTACCTCGGCTCTGCGCCAGTGAGAGTCTTCTTCCTTTGTGGTAAAATGGATGGTAGGCCCAGCTCTGGGGACGACTATGGGACCAGGAGAGGCCGAAGACAGCGCGGCCTGCTTCTCCCTGCCTGGGCCTGTGGGCCGGACGCCCCTGTGCCCACGGCCCTTCTTCCCCCCAGAGGCCCAGAAGCAGTGACGACCACAACAGGACCTGCCTGGCCTCACAGGACTCTTCCAACCTTCATAAGAGTCCCGACTTATTTTCTGGGCCAGGGGACAATAAAGGAGAAAATTCTGGTTAAAAACCAAAAACAAGGGCTAGGGCCGTGGCTCAGCAGCAGAGCGCTTGCCTAGCACTTTCGAGGCCCTAGATTCAATCCTCAGCACCCCCTAGAAATAAATAAATAAAATAAAGGTATTTGTCCGACTACGATATATTTAAAAAAAAAAAAAATCCATGAAAACAAAAACGAAGAAGCCATTCGTGCCCTCGAGGAGGATTTCACAGCTGGGCCTGCAAAGTTGAGGACACTGCGGGTCACACGGGCCTTCTGGCTTTACCAAAACAGGGATCTGGAAGCCAGGGCCACGGCCGAGTGAGGAGCAGACACTCACGTTCAGCGCTTCCATGTCTCTGTGGAACTCCCCTTCCCAGAACTTGGGCAGTTGAGAGAAGATAGAGTTGTCGTCCACCTCGCTGCCACACGTGGAGTCCAGCCAGTCAGAAAGCAAGTCCTTTGCCTCTTCCAGCAACGTCTACAGGAGGGGACAGGAGGGGACAAAACACCCATGCTTGTGCCAGGTCTCACCAGGCCCATCCAGCATGGTGGTGGGAGCCACGCAGTGCCCATAGCGCCCAGCTGGGACCCACGAGTCACCACCTCCTGGGGAGACAGCAGAGCTCACGCCACCAGCTGCCGAGGGACGGCGCACCATGGCTGTGCCCCATGGCCCAACCACACCCACAGGTCCCCTGCACTCAGGAGGGAGACCCTCTGTCCTTGGCGGTCCTGGAGGAGACCAGCTTTGAGCTGAGCAGGGGCAGCCAGGGCCTCACGGCAGGCGGCCATCGGTGGAAGTGGAGGCAAAGACACAGGGCGGAGAGGAATGCAGAGGGTTGACCTGGCAAGAACGGGGGGACGCTGCCCAGCACATCAGGAGGAAGGGGCGCAGGGCATAACAAGGGCCACGCCCCCAGGCACTGCCTGCCAACAGCTCCTGGCTAGCCACCTTGCAAGAGGCCAACCGGCAGGTGCCCGTGTGCCTCCCCAGCCCAGCAGGCACCAGGGGTGCACAGGTGGCAAAGGCAGGTGTGCACCCAGAGGCAGAGACCCAGGCCTGCCTTCAGTGCAGGACAGGAACCCCAGGGGTGACCTTGAGGAGATGAGCCCCGGCACTCAGGGAGGCACCTGTATTCTGTTCCTAGAACTACCAGACCAAGACCAGGCAAAAATAAAGTCCTAGTCAAGGTCACTACATGCCCAAGGGCAAGCAATCACAAGGAAAGCCATCAGAGACATACCAGCCTTCAGACGCCCGTGTCACCAGACCCACAGTGAAAAGAGCCAGTGTCGAATGTTTAGAGAAACAGGGTCACAAGGTGATGAGAAACAGCAGGCCAAAAGAGGCCACCAAATGGCCCAGGGACTTTCAAAAGGAGAAATAAACCATATTTTTGGAGATGAAGTCTATTAACTGTTGAGTGTCAACAGTTCGGGTGAGGTAGCTGAAGAGGGAATCGGTGAATAGGAGGAGAGAACTGAAGGAGTCACTGAAAGGAACAGAAACCKGAAGGAGAGAGGGAAGACCAGGAGGAGGGGTGGCTGAGAGCTGGGCCTCACACCTGCGGTGTCCCAGAGAGGGAGGGCAGCGAGCAGAAGAGACGCAGCAGTCGCCGACGGGAAGCTGAGGCTGACAGGACCAGGGCCTGGAGGCCTCTCAAGGACCTCAGGGAAACAGGCCAGAAAGGAGCCAGACAGAAGGGAGGGGAGGTGACATGAAGACTGCCAGGCACAGGAGCCAGCGCAGCAGGACGAGCCTCGGTGGTGGTCTGACGAAGCCAGGCTGTGCGGTCAGTGCTCGGGGACCTGCATCTGACCGGCCCAGGTGAGCTGGCCACAGGTGCTCAGGAAGAGGGGTCCAGAGCACGGGAAGGAACGAGGTGCAAGAGCACAGAGAACCCACCCCCAGGTGGCAGCAGCGTCGTGTGAGCGCGGAGTGAGCGACGCGGCAGGGTTCTGAGATCCAGGGCTGTGGAAGACGGGGCAGAGTGGCCACTTGAGTCCTCGCTCAGTCACACACCCACAGAACCATCCCAAAGTGCAGCGCTCAACAGGGGCATGGAGACGCCAGGCCAGTGCTGGAGGGAGTCGCACAAAGGCCAAAGGAGGCCAAACTGGGACAGAAGCCTGGGCTGGGGCCTCGGACAAGCCCCGCGCAGACCCAGCCCAAGGCCGGACCTACACCAGGCTCTCCAGCCACCTACTGGTGATGACTCTCCTGTGGCACAGGCCACTCAGGTGAGGGAGAAGGACAGAGGGGGCCTCAGCAGCACACCCCTGGGAAAGGCAGCCTGGGGGCAGCAAGGCAGGGGCTTGCCGGGCCCCACCTAAGGCCAGCCATCCAGTCGTGGGTCTTCGAGGGATGAAGTGGTTCACAACCCAACAACGGATTTAATGTCCCCCCAATAATCATGTTAAGCTTGGGAACTCTAATTGAACAGCCTCAAAATACACAAAGGAGGAGGAGATGGAGACTCCCGGCTTCCAGTCCCACAGGCAGGAGCCTGGGAGGTGCCCCTCCATCCTAACAGCAGGCAAGAAGCTGCGGCCTGGGAGTGGACAGGAGGCCCGGCTCACCAGGGCAGGGCTGAGAGCCAGCGCCGTGACTGGCGAGTCCTGGAGGCCAGGTGGATAGCCGATAGTCAACAGCCCCCAGGGGACCCAGTCACGGGTACCCCCACGCTGTTCTGAGTTTCACCTCCAGGAACTTGGCCAAGTTCTCACAGAGGACACGGACAAAGCACTCCTCTGGCGGAGGGCAGGAGGGAGCCCTGAGATCCGCCAGCGCTCTCTTCTTAGCTGCCTGCTCTGGTCGGAACGTGTTCCCCAAACGCAGCAGTGCTGGGAGGGGGCCTCCTGAGGGGGCTTAGGTCACAGGGCCCCACTCTCAAGAGTGGGTCAGCATGCACTAGAAAAGGACTGGAGGCAGAGTCTGACCTGTGTGTCTCCAGCATCCCCTGCTGCCCTCCCGCTTCTCCCCAGGGGAAGACGCAGTGAGAGAACCTGCCAGCTCCAGAGCCCCTGACCATAGGAAATGGCTTACTCTTCATTCTAAGTTACCCAGCGTCTGGTGTTCTGTGGCAGCAACACAGCACAGCCCAGGACACTGCCCTTCAGAGGACTATTTAACCAGGGTRGAACCTGCCCAGAGGAGCGAAGTCCCCGGCTCAGGCCAGCGCCAACCCCCTGCTTCAACAGCAGAGGAAACTGGAGGTGCACATGAGGTCTGCAGTGCAAGGCACACCTCCCTGAACAGAGCCCTGACCCCTCCGATGGCCACTCCCCCGAAGGCTGTTCACAGCAGCTCCTCTCCACGGCTGGACACACAAGAGCAAGGCCTACTGAAAGGCCAAAGCGTGTTTTGTAGAGACCAAGCCAGCATCCGAAGTGGATGTGGCAGGGCTGCTGGACGATCAGACAGAAGCTGTGACAGCCAGTCAATATGTGAGGGCCTCCCTGTGGACAGGCAGGCAGTGAGCAAGAGCAGACCTGGGACACAGAGTCTAGAGTCCACTTTGAGGACACAGAATTCAGCCTTCAACGTGAAACTCCTGGGGATGTACGCACAGCCTCGAGGGGAAAGGCACGGGCGCCGCTCGGAGCAGCACCACAGCCGCAGTGTGGTGGGTTCAGAGTCCATGCACCTGAGCAGCCCTTGACACACAGGAAGCAGGGATGGAGCTGGCCTGGCCAACAGAGACAGAAATTCTTTTGTTATGCATTTTAAAAAATGAACCTATAGGAGACAGTAAAACCTAGGTGACATCCCAGAAGACTGTGTACCGCATAGCACTCGGCCAATGGGGAACTGGGGAACAGAGTGGGGCACAGCATACTCTCTGTAACCTCTGAGTGCGCCTGCTGCCCAGACGCCAGACCCTACAAGACCTGCACCTCGTGTCTCCCAGTCGATCCTTGGGTCTGGGCAGGTGTGTTTCTCACAGATAGATAAGGAGAGCAGAGAGATGGAAGTTCTAAGAAAGAACAACAAAAACGCTAGACAGGAAATGAGTGGCTGCGGTGGCGCACACCTGTATTCCAGCTACTGGGAAGCTGAGGCAGGAGGATGGACGTTAAGGCCAGCAGGGGCCACCTGGTGAGACCTTATCTCGAAACAAAACAAAAATGGCTGGGATGTGGCTCGGCAGTGGAGCACCCTGGGTTCAGCCGAGGTACACAAGACAGTGCTTGGTGGCTCACCACTGAGCAGACAGTGGAGAACACTCTTGCACTGAGGATCTGATGGCAGAAAGTTCCAGAAATGAAAAGCAGAATGAGTGAAGCCTGGAGAGAACAGAGCATCAAGGACTGTGGGACCMCAGAGGGGTGCAATGGCGGTCACAGCGCTCCCCCCACGCTGCGGACCAGCCCTGCTGCCCGTCCTCCCTAACCTCAGGGCAGCAGGTCACCTCTCTTCCCGTCCCAGGCAGAGTCATCTGTCCTTGAACACCGACCACAGGAGCCGAGCGATTCAGCCTGGGGAAGGCCCCAGAAGACCTCAGACTGTCCCCCGACGAACAGGCGAGTGACAGCCCTGACAGAGAAGGTGGGCGCTGCCCTGAGTCGCCTCTTTAAAGCCCCCTGCTCTCCCCATGGGCAGATTCGTAGTCTCCGGGACGGGCGTCCCTGGCTCCTCCTTTGCTTACTCAGCAATGCAACTTCCTTTTCCTTTTTCCCCAAATGGTGTCCCAGTGATTGGATTGACCTGGGGGACAAGGAGCTTTCAGTAACAGGAGCAGGAGGAGGGGAGAGGGACAGAGGCAGTGCCTGAGTGTGTCCCCAGTCACTGTCAGACTCCAGACCCCGGCCCAGGGCACCGGAAGGCACTACACCTGGGCAGCCACTGTCAAAGAGGAAAGTCCTGCCAGCAGCTGGGGGAAGAGGGGTGCTGACAGGAGCCTCCACCAGGAGCCTGCGCGTGCCAAGCCACCCTCCAAGTGGAGGCCTCCTCATCAAACAGAAGAGCCCAGGCGTCTGCGGCCAGCACCTGCCTTCCAGGGAATGCCGAAAAGCTCTTCAGAGAGAAGCAAAGGGTGAAGGTCAGAAATCTGGATCTCCGTGAAGAGGGAGCACATGGAAGCAAGAGGAAGTGGAGGTCAAACAAAGACTGTCATTCTCCAGAGCCTGGTGCAGAGGCAGAGCCTGCTCCACGTGTCCCACCTGAGGCTGGTCCCTGGGCCACAAATGGAAACAGGCAACAAACAAAAGACCCCAACGGCACTCTTCCTCCCCGCTGAATCTAACAGGCCCTCTGCTCAAGCTGACACGACCATTCCTGCTTATGTGTGAGGGAACACAAAGAGCAGCCACTGCTGCCCGCCAGCCCGGGGGGTCAGGCCGAGGCGGACTCCAGGGCACCAGCTGAACCAGAGAAAACCCAGCTGGGTATGTTAAGGGAAAGAAAACGGAATCACAGAGAGCGTTCAACAAAATGCAAAAGGGGGCTGGGGGTGTGGCTCAGCAGCAGAGCGATCA